AAATATATAGGTCCAAAACACATCCCACGCGATTTTCTATCGATTAGTATAGTCCAATTTTGATCAATTTTCCTAACCAAATCTGACATTGCCTTGCCTTGCCTTGCCTAACCAAATCTGACATTGCCTTGCTTTGCCTTGCCTAACCAAGGAAAAAAAAATGGTAAAAATATTTTAGCCCAAAACATGTTCCACGTGATTCTCGATCGATTGGTATAGTCCAATTTTGATCGATTTTTTACACTCCGTACATCCTCGTGACTCGGACAAAAAATTTTTTGAGAAAATGAAAAAAATATATAGGTCCAAAACACATTCCACGCGATTCTCTATCGATTGGTATAGTCCAATTTTGATCGATTTTTTACCCTCCGTACATCCTCGTGACTCGGACAAAAAATTTTTTGAGAAAATGAAAAAAATATATAGGTCCAAAACACATTCCACGCGATTCTCTATCGATTGGTATAGTCCAATTTTGATCGATTTTTTACCCTCCGTACATCCTCGTGACTCGGACAAAAAATTTTTTGAGAAAATGAAAAAAATATATAGGTCCAAAACACATCTCACGCGATTCTCTATTGATTGGTATAGTCCAATTTTGATTAATTTTTTACACTCCGTACACTCTCGTGACTTAAAGAAAAAACAATTTTTTTTGAGAAAATAAAAAAAAATATATAGGTCCAAAACACATCCCACGCGATTCTCTATTGATTGGTATAGTACAATTTGAATCGATTTTTTACACTTTGTACACCCTTGTGACTTGGGAAAAAAAAAAAATTTTTTTGAGAAAATGAAAAAAAATATATAGGTCCAAAACACATCCCACGCGATTCTCTATCGATTGGTAAATTGTAGCCCTTCGCGAGGCCGATCGATGTCCCTCGGGAGACAACCCTCCCCCGTCAACGGTTTCCGAGTTACGGACCCAAAATGGCAAGGGGCGCTTTGCACCCCTATAACTAAGGAACGGAGATAGATATCGACGCGAGACAAACGCCAGAATCCGTTTCGCGTGACCAATTTTCGATTTCCGTAATAAAAAATTGCAAAAAAGCTGGAACACCGTAACCCTAAACCTAAACAAATTTTTATGAGTTGGCGCAATATTTTTATCATATATCACATTATTTTTGTAAAAAAAAAAAAAAGAAAAAAATTAAAACAACTATTTTGTAAAACAGTTTTTTTAGTTTGGATGTGACAGTGTTTTTGTATTAAAATAATTAAAATAACACTATTTTGTATAAGAGTTTTTTCTTTATAGCAAAAGACGCTTATGCGCGTGCACTTGGCTCTTTTTTCACTTAAAAAAAAAAAATGAATTTGCAATTTTATAAATTTACAATCTTTTTGTATCCAAAATATTCAGATATCCGCATGCAAAAAGATCATGGTGGATTTACGCATACAACGAGTTTTTTCACATCTCTCTTGTCTTTGTATAATCTCAATATTTATTTATTAAAATCTAAAGTATCTTGCATATTAGAAAATTATTATCAAATTTTTAATTTTATATAAGAATGGGAACTATTAAAAGAATTTTTAGTCCAATGTTTGAGTCCCCTGTGTTGGGGTCATATCATACAACTTAAACTAATAAAATTATTTATTATGTCTATAATCTTACTAGCCGCTTTTTGTAAACTTTATATAATTATCGTGACTAAAAATTAAATGCGGAATAGATAGCGCAACATGCACCGCATAGCGGTAAACGAATGAACTAGCGATTATCGAATACTTTTTTTGTAATATTTTCGGAATGTTGCTGTAACATTGCTAAAGTTATATTGTAAAATAATGGTTATATTGTAAAATAATTTGCAATATTTCTGCAACATTACACTGCAATATGCAATATTGCAATGTTGCAGCAATGTTGCAAGCTTCAGTGCTGTATGGGTACGCATTCAAAATTGAAAAATAAAGATTGGAATTTTACTAATCGGAATAAAAGAAATAAACATTTCTTTCCCTTAGGTCGGAAACGTGAAAAATGAAAAATCTTTCCATTAATTTTAATGACAAAATTTTTCACTTTTCACGTTTCCGTCCCAAAGAAAAAGTTACATGATCGATACCCTGATTGATCAAATTTCAATCTTGAATCTTCAATCTCAATCTTCGATTGGTAATCTGATACGGGCTTTAAGATTCCATTCAGCCAATGAAATGGCTAATATCTTTGCAATATTTCTGCAACATTACACTGCAATATGCAATATTGCAATGTTGCAGCAATGTTGTTGCAAGCTTCAGTGCTGTATGGGGAAGAAGATTCCAAGCAAACCAATATGTAACTGTTACATAACCTAGCAGATATAAAATAGAAATTAACTTCCATATAAATAAAATCTTTAATTTTATAAATTAATTAAATTTACCTAAATACATATATATATTACATTTAATATATGTTATTATATATACATTCTGGATGGTCTTATTTTTGCATCAAACAAACGTAAAAAAATGACGTCTCGTAGATGTGACGACGTCATTTTCTCTCTTCCTTAGGGTCTAATTGGTCATTTTGTGACTAAAATGTACCGTCATTATGACGTCCTTTTGCTACTTGGGATGTTATATTACATGATTTAGAGAAATATGTAAAATATATATATCTATGTTATGTTATAGTAACATATCATTTGAAATGTATCGAATATATAAATAACATATTCAAAGTTGCTGACATAGAGCCGTACCAGAACGTAACATTTACCTGTACAAGTAATATTACATGTAACATTCACGACACTCGTGGATCGAGAGACAGAAGATATTAGAAATTGCAATAATGTTAGGTGCTGCGCACAATAGAGAAAATATTAGGAATAGGAATAAAATATTAAATATCAGGAGGAGCAATATGGAATTATTTTATTTCAAACAAGGGAACGGAATGGATTAACGCATAATGAAATAATAAAATTTAAAAAAAAATAGAAATATTTGATCCATTCCGTTTCCTTGTTTGAAGTAAAATAATTCCAAATTGCTCCTCCTGATATTTAATATTTTATTCCTATTCCTAATATTTTCTCTATTGTGCGCAGGGCCTAACTGTTACGAACATCAACATATAGACTATATATCGACTATTGATATATTGATGGTTACGAAATAATGAAAAGTAAAGGTTGGCACCATCTACTTTCAAGCGTTTCCACCGCCTAAATTTCATGTCAATTCGCTGCCACTCCGACAAAGCTTGTAGATCGGAGTAGGAGTGAAATGAACGCAGTCAGTCGTATTTCCATTGATTTAAATTTGGTTCTACGCCGCATTAGATGCGAATTCTTCGATGGAAACTAGACCAAAGAAACACAATCGACCCCCTGAACGCGACCAATAATGAATTAATAGATGTATTCGTGTATTCTCGCCTAGGTAGCGCTTCGAACACTGTTCCAAAACAAAATACGAGTGTTAGCTATCTATTTTCTTATATCATTTGTGCTTAATTGTGTCAACGTCAACGTTTTCAAGATGGCAAGCACGGTGAATGATATCGTGACACAAGCGAAGGAAAATCTTACCGAGTATCAGAATGCAACAACTGCGAGAGTACCGTCGACACCCGAGGGAATGGCAATTGCTTACGGTAGTCTCATTATTATGGCTATTTTACCGATTTTTTTCGGTAGCTACCGTGCAGTCAGACATCATAAGGAACAGCAGGTTAGCCACGTACTTTGACATATGTTTGACGCACGCGTTTTTTACGAAATTTTTCCGTTCGTTTTTTCATCGATCGCGAAAATTTACGGAAGAAGTTTTCGTCATATTTTGCAACGATTGATTATCTCTTATCTCAAACGGTCACAAGACTTTTTTTTTAATGATTTCTGCTAACATTTTTCTTCCGACAAAACGATTAATTACGATTGTACGTGTAATGCAGCTATATGAAATAGTACGGTATATCCGTGAGTGTCGTAAGTTTTTTTTATTTGTATTCCTAATTTGTTGCATGATGCGTTATATTTTACAGCAACAGTATAAAGCCAGTGGCGAACAACCTGACACGATGTCTCGTAGAGAGGCTGCCATGTTTCCTCTTATCTCCAGCGTTACGTTAATTGGCTTGTATATATTGTATAAGGTAATTATACGTTTGTGTGAAAATTATCATATTTCAAGATTGTAAAATGTTACGTAAAATAATTTTTACAGGTATTTGCGAAAGAGTATGTTAACCTAATATTGGCTGGATATTTTTTCTTCCTTGGCATTTTAGCTTTGTGTCATCTTACCAGGTAATTTGAGCTTTTCAACAAAAAAAAGAATTTGTATCATGAACGTTTTTTGTAGTAATTCGAATAAGAAGTTTGACTTAATCGTTGAAGCATGTTTTGTAATATTTAAGTATAATTAAATTAAAAATTCTAAAGTTGTAAAATTTTAGCCCATTGATCTCATCGTTGGTACCTGCTGCGATTCCGAAAACACAATATCACATCTTATTTACCAAAGGAAAAGATGATAAGGAAGAGCATATAATTAACTACAAATTTAATCTACATGACATTGTTTGTCTTGTATGCTGTTCATTCGTGGGTGCTTGGTATCTTTTAAAAAAAGTAAGAATAAAAAAAAGAAATAAATAAAATTCAGATTTAATTTAGATTTTAGAAATTTAGGTTTTTCATCTTTTATATTTTTTATACGTTTCTATCTTTTTTTTTTTTTTTTCTTTTTCAGCATTGGATAGCTAACAACCTATTTGGCATAGCGTTTGCCATAAATGGAGTCGAATTATTACATCTCAATAATGTCGTGACTGGATGCATTTTGCTCTGTGGTCTTTTATTTTATGATGCCTTTTGGGTGTTTGGTACGGATGTAATGGTGACGGTAGCGAAATCTTTTGAAGTGCCCATTAAACTCGTCTTTCCGCAAGATCTTTTAGAAAAGGGCTTGAGCGCCGGTAATTTTGCCATGCTGGGATTGGGTGACATTGTATTGCCTGGCATCTTTATCGCGTTACTGCTGCGATTTGATAACAGTCTCAGTAGGAAGACAAATGTCTACTTTTATTCCACGTTCTTCGCATACTTCATGGGATTACTCGCCACCATGATGATCATGCACTTATTTAACCATGCGCAACCTGCTTTATTGTATCTAGTACCCGCGTGTGTAGGCACACCGTTGCTCTTAGCATTAGTCAAAGGTGATCTCAAGGCACTGTTCTCGTAAGTATCTTTTAATTCGAACATGAATTTATGTGTCACATTTGTTTCTATATTTATGATTTATATATATGCGAAATTTTTATCTGCTTCAGATATGAAGATCATCCGTCGCAACCCACGAACGGAACGCAACAATCGGAACAAACGCAAGTAGAAGCGAAAAAGGATAAATAATACATTAATTAATAACGCGAAAAATATAATGAAGATTCCACGAGACATTATTATTATCGCGCTATGATTTTCCGAATTCTTGCGGAAGAAAAAAAGAAAATAAAAAATGATTGTTTATGGTTCAGGCTCAAGACGTACAATTACGCATTATGAAGAATACTATAGCTTATAATTATGTCTTGCATGCACATCAACTGCAAGGTATATAATTCTGAATACAATTCTTAAAGTAGTTAATACTCACGGATATCGTTCGCGGAAGAAAAACGAAAAAGAAAAATTCAATGATAGGAAATATGATTGTGATAATCAAGAATGCCGTTTCGTTTGTATGCAACATTAAAGAGAAATTTTTATCACTCATGTATGGTATCGATGGTAACCATTCTGAGATACTGGATGAAAAGGCACTCGTACTGAGAAGATGTCAAACAATAATTTAGAGTTTTGTTGTTTCATAGTGTAAAATAGTATAAAAATACTTCCAACTCTTGATTTATATTTTGTACATAGTAATGTGTACGATAGACTACTATATAAAAGTTTGCCTGAGTTTTACAATGCGTTTTACATTCTAAAAATTAATTCAGAATTAAGTTTCAATTATATATAAGTTTTTACTGTTAGAGTAAATTCTCTTCGAGATTTATCTTTCTGATTTCTACCATGTGTGAGTGATAATCGTGAAATGTGAAAATGTAAAAATGACCCTTTTTCTTTGCAATGCATTAAACGAATTAATATGAAACAGTTATAAAAAGTTATTTAAATGTTCATAATGAAATATGAAGAAATACGAGATCGCGCTATTTGAATGCCACTGTATACCTTATTTATTTGCAAGATCTGCATGGATATTTGAAATTAAAAGAAACTTACATTTTTTATTCGTAAGTGTAATGTATGTACAAAAAATAAAATCTACTAAAATTGCGTAATTTTTTTAAGTTGTCGAAAAAAAAAATTTTTAAGATAATTATAATTCTGTCTCTCTCCTTTCATTAATATAAAGTATAGTACTTATAATTTTTCTTTGCCGACACTTAGAAATCACAAATATTTACAATTTATAATACTGAGACATATGTTCTGACAGTCTAATATTTTCATTATGGCAAAAATTTCGAAATCTTACAATCTTTTAAATAAAAATGAACTTTGTTGCTTTCAACTTTATATTTTTATGTAGTAAGATATTGTATGATTCACAATTATATATATTTCTCTTCGTATGGTACAATTACACCATATATGTGTATGTATCTATAGATATCGACAAAATTAGAATACTCTAATTCAATTTAATAACTGAAATAAAAAAAAATAAGTAATTATTATAGGTTATTGAGAAATCTATCCACAAATTATGTTTACAGATATTTTATTCTTATAATGGAAAAACTTCTATAATTGAAGAAATATAAAAAAAAAGATATTCTTTTTCATACTTTGGCGACACTTTCCACAGCCAAATTTTCAGCTGTAATTGGCTGCATATCTTTAATTCCATCCTTGAATATTTTTTGAACTTTGAAATTTGGTAAATTAACGATCAATCGTTTCTGAATTTCTCGAATACATTTCTTCAATAATATATATGCCTCTTCTTCGGTAGAATCTGCAAGAAATATCCAATTATACCTTATAGGCAGAATTAATTTATACATGATCATATTTCTATACATTTATATATATATATATATATATATGCATTTTACCATATTTGTAATATCTGTCTAAGACAGACATGGAAAACATGCCACCATATCCATGAGTTGCATAAGGAACTTTTACACAGGATGCTAAATAATCGATGAAATATAATTCTGGTCCTGTATCATCGTCATATCCAGCCAGCAGCATATTGACAAAATATGGGGTTCTACTTCTAAGATAATCGGCCAGATTTCTCCTTGTAAAGCAAGCAGCAGCCTTGGGAGACAGTTCATAACCATTTCGCATCTTATATAATTGAATATTTTTTCCAATATACTCTGAAAATTGTGTCGTGTCACCTGATTCTCCAGATATTGCCATAACAAGCTTGTCAGAGATCTTGTGAATCTTGTGTTCATCTGAAATGTTTTGTGTGCCATTTAAAATTAGTTTATGCAATTTATAATTAAACTGGGGTGCGTTCGAGAACCTCATCCGTGTGCACACGAGCGTCGTTTTATCTTTGTTTAACTTTCAGTAAATAACGAAGATAAAACGACACTCGGTGAACATGGGTGACGTTCTCGAACGCAGCCCTGTAGAATGTTTGCTCATAACCTAACAATCTAATATATAACGTAATTAAAATTTCGTGAAAATGACACATTGTTCTATTGTTTTATACTTTAATATACTATGATAATGTAATTATGATAATATTCTGTTATACAATGTATCACACAATACAATATATACTAATATAATTAATTGTGTCTAATTAATACGCTACTAACAGTCGGATATGATAAAAATAACAAACAGTTTACCGCTTTTCATAACTATAATGGATTGTGCGGTTGTCATATCCGCTGCAATCAGCACGAAATCTTTGCATTGAATACCAATTAAACACTCCATTTCTGCGATTCGTTTTTGTATTCGCCGTCTCGATGTAATCAGCAAACACTAAAAGTGCTTGTCACGCAGACGACAAGTTAACCTCCCGATAATCGAAATAGTGGTACTGTTACTGTTTCGTATTGTCATACGAGATGATCTGTAACCTGTAACCACAATTTGTAACCACCATTGAGTAAATAAGAACAGGAGAGAGCATTTGGTGTTAAGGATGTGAACGGAAGTGACTATATATAAGTGGACGCTCAAGTTGGCCACTTAGGGCAATGTTGTTCTCGGGGACGCTTTCTCGCGCATGCGCGTTAAGGTGCCATTACATGGCAGCATCGAGCATCGATCGTCTGCGCAGGAATCTAAATGAGATAGATTCCAGCTTCTTGCGGCTAATAGCATGATGAGTGATATGAATTCGGTGGAGATAAAAAAATTATGTTCTGACTGGTTACTGATCACATTACTAATACTGAAAATTGATATTTATTTACATTATACACAATAGATATTATTATTATTGAACAAAATATATATAAAACGTTACTATCCCCCAGCAGATTATTAGAATCTAATCAAGGGATAAGGGATATAATTTTCATTTTTTTTCCTGCATGTTTATAACATACTGCTCCTTTAAATCATTTCCTACTTTTAACAATAGTTTTTCAAACTGTGTCGTTTTGTCATTTGTGAATTCCTTTTTGTGTCTTATTTATTTGAATATTTCAACCATCCAAAATATTTTGCCGCATTTGTATTTTAATTTTATTTTAATTTACATTGCCAGAGTAGTAACGTTTCATAATATATCTTTGATTAATAATAACACACACACACACACACACACACACACACACACACACACACACACACACACACACACACACACACACACACACACACACACACACACACACACACACACACACACACACACACACACACACACACACACACACACACACACACACACACACACACACACACACACACACACACACACACACACACACACACACACACACACACACACACACACACACACACACACACACACACACACACACACACACACACACACACCTTTACATGGCAGCTTTAAGCGTCGAGCGTCTGCGCAGAAAATTGCGCAGAATCTAATTTCAGCCTAGAATCTATCTCTTTTAAATTCTGCGCATTTTTCTGCGCAGACGCTCGACGCTTAAAGGTGCCTTTACATGGCAGCGTCAAGCGTCGAGCGTCTGCGTAGAAAATTGCGCAGAATCTAATTTCAGCCTAGAATCTATCTCTTTTAAATTCTGCGCATTTTTCTGCGCAGACGCTCGACGCTTAAAGGTGCCTTTACATGGCAGCGTCAAGCGTCGAGCGTCTGCGTAGAAAATTGCGCAGAATCTAATTTCAGCCTAGAATCTATCTCTTTTAAATTCTGCGCATTTTTCTGCGCAGACGCTCGACGCTTAAAGGTGCCTTTACATGGCAGCGTCAAGCGTCGAGCGTCTGCGTAGAAAATTGCGCAGAATCTAATTTCAGCCTAGAATCTATCTCTTTTAAATTCTGCGCATTTTTCTGCGCAGACGCTCGACGCTTAAAGGTGCCTTTACATGGCAGCGTCAAGCGTCGAGCGTCTGCGTAGAAAATTGCGCAGAATCTAATTTCAGCCTAGAATCTATCTCTTTTAAATTCTGCGCATTTTTCTGCGCAGACGCTCGACGCTTAAAGGTGCCTTTACATGGCAGCGTCAAGCGTCGAGCGTCTGCGTAGAAAATTGCGCAGAATCTAATTTCAGCCTAGAATCTATCTCTTTTAAATTCTGCGCATTTTTCTGCGCAGACGCTCGACGCTTAATGCTGCCATGTAAAGGTACCTTAAGGTGCCATTACATGGCAGCATCGAGCATCGATCGTCTGCGCAGAAATCATTGCGCAGGAATCTAAATGAGATAGATTCCAGCTTCTTGCGGCTAATAGCATGATGAGTGATATGAATTCGGTCGAGATAAAAAAATTATGTTCTGATACACATTACTAATACTGAAAATTGATATTTATTTACATTATACATAATAGATATTATTATTATTAAACAAAATATATATAAAACGTTACTATCCCCCAGCAGAATATTAGAATCTAATCAAGGATTAAGGGATATAATTTTCATTTTTTTTCCTGCATGTTTATAACATACTGCTCCTTTAAATGATTTCCTACTTTTAACAATAGTTTTTCAAACTGTGTCGTTTTGTCATTTGTGAATTCCTTTTTGTGTCTTATTTATTTGAATATTTCAACCATCCAAAATCTTTTGCCTCATTTGTATTTTAATTTTATTTTAATTTACATTGCTAGAGTAGGAACGTTTCATAATATATCTTTGATTAATAATTATAATAACACACACACACACACACACACACACACACACACACACACACACACACACACACACACACACACACACACACACACACACACACACACACACACACACACACACACACACACACACACACACACACACACACACACACACACACACACACACACACACACACACACACACACACACACACACACACACACACACACACATCTGTTATATAATAAAATAAATGAAATATAATTCTGGGCAACAATATTCTGCGCAGACGCTTAACGCTCCGTCTGTCGGCGCGCTTCGTAAATTCACCGAAAATCGTACATCTTGCATAAATTCTTACGTGAAAAATATCGCTCGTACGAAAAAAACTTATAGAACATTTCTTGTGCAAAATTGTCCATTCTTTAATTTTCTACTCTTGCATTTTTTTGTAAAATCGATATTTAACGAGATAAAAACGGAATTTGAACCCTATTTGTTTAATTAGTTCTCTTACTAGCCACTGTACAATGGTAAACTTTTTTCCCCTTCAATCTTATGCAAAAACAAAGGTCTGTGCCAAAATTCAGCTGACTAACATTTTTTCCAAGATTTTGCTCGATTTTTGTCTAAAGTTACTGTATTATTGATCAAATAATGGCCGAACGCGTATAGAGCGATCTGATCTTGATTAGAACGGAAGCGATTGAAAATAACGTATTGTTAATTACTGTATTCAAGAATTTATTACTTGAAACATCTCTTTCATTTAACCGATCTTGCTTTGTATGGTTAAATTTGTCGAGCTACCAGCGGTCTGGTCAGCTCCGCCTGACAACTGGAGAGTTTCATTCTCCGCCGCAATCTTTTCTCGATGCATTAATTATTGTATATGTATTGTACAATATATGTATTAATCTCGATATATTATTAGCAAATGGTGTTTTAACTTGCAAAGAGTGCAAACATTCTTACTTTTATATGACCATGGTAAATGTCCTTGCCGTAGACAATTGAAACAACATTTATGACCTTTTAATAACTCAACACGCTGAGAGATGGATTGATTAAGAAGTCTTACAGTGATTTAATTTAATACCCTCGCATGCTAAATTCTTTCCGTTGTTCGAGGAAGCTTGAAGCATAATTTTACATTATTGGATTTATTTGATTTTCTGATCTCTGATTTATTAACTGCATGGCTATTGCATGTATAACTTCCAGCGCTCAAATTCTCGAAGTAAGGAAAGCGTCAAGTTTCTCAAAATTCAGAATCTCAGTATCGTCTCCGAATGAGAGCTCGCAGTCCCAACGAGTATTTTTATTAAATTTTGAAACCGTAATAAATACCATTAAATCTTCTTGTCATTGATTAATGGATCTCTTTAAATTTAACAAGGTCATATAAATATCGTTGGTCTCTCAAATTCTTTAAATTGCTCACGGACTGAGAATTCACACAGCGAATATCCATAAACGATTGTAAATGAGCATTCACTATAGCACGTGTGTTATCGTAACGTTTTCTTAATAATTCCCGCGGTATTATAATTAGCGTCGGTTACTTGAGTATTAGCCAAAATTAAACTTGCGTCTCCTGTCAAGTTCGCCTTAAGATAATGCAACTTCTGCACGTTAGATAAATCGGTTCTATTCTCAATAAATCGAATATATCGCGGAAATTCTATATATTATGTCTTCCAAAAATTTATGAATATCAATTCGCGGTAAATGAATTATTGAATGTTTCGATTCATGCGATAAGATAGACTCGTCAAGACTCGATTATGCATTGCTCGCTTGCAAAGCTCAAGGCTCTCCGACAAGAAATCCATATAATCTCTTCCACAGAATCGTTAATTAAAACATATAAATAAAAACGTATCCGTGAAGTACTCATCGTCTGGTCTCCTCGTCCCCGATGGTGCACAGCTTTGCATGATAGGCCTGGCTGACTTCCCAATATGCTTTGAGGCTGTTGATTCGGCTTCGGACAGCTGTCGTAATCCTTTTTGATTTGGCGAGCTTGTTGAAGTTCATCAGGATCCTGAAGATCAACGTCTGCGTGCTGATCTGCGCTGCCAACAACTCCTCAGAAGATTCCATGGCGAATCTCGTATGATCCGTCTGTACGTACAGGCTCTTTTTAAATTTCGCGTGATATCGCGTTCACTCACAACTGTCACGTTCTTTATCCACCTGAATACCGGTTTTTATTGTTTTTTACGTTTATTGTCGGAGGTGCATTTACATCAACACCGATCACAATTATTAAAGTTAACTAAGTTTATCTCTCACTGGACAGGCTTTAAACAACACTGATTATAATTAAAGTCAAGTGTAATAGCCGTTTCCGTATGTGTGAGAGAGAAAGCTTCTTTTTAGAAGAAGATAGCACTCGCATTAATCCGCGTGAACCGTACGCGCACAAAATGGGCGCAATCAGCGAGCGGTGGGGAATATCGACACCCTCGCGCACGAGCTTATTATCATCGTGACCGCCGAAGCTTCAACTTGTTGGGGTAGAGAAAGACAGAGTCTTGTTCCCGCGCGAGTGAGTGAGACAGATCTCGTCTTCTAATGAGAAAGATACGATGAATCTGACTTGTGTTAAATACAGAGAGAGAGAGAGAGAGAGAGAGAGAGCACTCACATCAATTCGCAAATTATCGCACTTATTATAAACGGAAAGTTTATTGTCGTGACTGCCGAAGTTTATCGGGGTGGAGAGCAGTGTTGTTCTCGGGGACGCTTTCTCGCGCATGCGCGTTAAACGTGGCCTTAAGATACGTGTCAAATTTATAAGAAAAAGGGTACTGTTAAGCCCTCTGCTCAGATAATGTTAAGAATAATCTAAAATGTTTTACAAATTAATGAATCACAAATAAATAATAAAAA